AATTAATTGGAAAATATTACGTTAATAGTTAGTTTGTGGTATGTGGAAGGCTACACAAACGTTGCATACGTAATTAAATTTAGTATTACTGAAAGTCTCCCGAAGTGAACCAGAGTTTTGCGATCGAAAAATATTTATTTTCCCGATATAAAAATACATGGAAAATTTTGAGCGCTTTGAGCGACCACTAAATATTTTTTGATTTAAAAATTAAAAAAAAAATAGGGGTATACTTTTTTTTCGGCATAGAACAATCCTAGGGAGTGCGAGGATTACAATTCTGACTTAACTGTTTTTGAACCGCCCTAGTGCACAAGGATATATTAACTTTGTTCGTATAACGGTTGTTTGTAATAGCCAAAACGAATCGAGATAGATGTGGACAAATGTATATGTATCAACAAAATCTTTGAAATCGGGCAATAACCACGCCCACCTGCCATATAACGGTAATTTACAGAAACTCGAAAACTGCGATAGCTCAGTGCAGTGCTCAGTGCTGGAGATAATTCACTTAAAATCGATGATTTGCAAAAAATGAGAATATTATAAATTTTTAGATAATGGGCGTGTCGTCGCCCACTTATGACCACAGATGTGTATCTCGGTAACCGATTTATCAATTTCTGCCACTGTGCACTTAATAACCTTCCGATATTTGTGTCGACATTGCAATATTCAAACAAAGTGAAAATAAATTGAATTGAAATAAATGACAATTTTTTGTATGAATATCCAAAAATATTTTTTCTATGCACATATGTACAAACATACAATGTATGTATGTATGTATTGCTGCGCTCCTATTACATACAAATAAAAACTTGTTTGTAGAAAAAAACTTTTACCGAAATGAGTTTGAATGATTTGAATGTTTTCCATTCATTCATTCACATTCTTCCATTTGTAGGTAGGAAATTTAAAACAAAATGTATATTCATAACTTACAAAATTCCAAACGCTGAGTGTTTTGTATGTGAAGTAAAATATTCAAATTTACTGTACTCTGTTTGGCTAGAAGTTTGAATGAATTCATGCAGCCCTCTAATTTATACCTAACTTGGTTCAATTATATCATTAAGTCTAACTCTGCATATTATCGAAAATATTTGAAATCGGGTATAGACTCCTACTTATCATGCAAAGGTAGTTCAGAGAAAGTTGAACCGAGGATATTTGATACATGCGCGGGGTATATAAAGATCGGTTTTGCCCGAACTTATGCTCCTTTACTTGTTTTTGGGTATTTTAGATTACCTAAAGTGTTGTTTGTCTATTTTTTATCATGTCAATGTAAAAGTGTGCTTTTTATACATTTATCTGTTTTTATCTTTTTTTATTAAAAAGACTTAAAATACTACTATCGCGGATAAATGCTCACGAAAACACGGAACTTCGGTAAACTTTACCGGTTACGATTTTTAATTACCGGTAAATCAGCGAGATTTAACAAACCGCAGTGAACACTTTGGCCAAAAAATTTTATACTAAGCGCCGAAAAGGTACACTGACATATAAGCGCGTAAAAAGCGGGGATTGCTGTAATTCGCAAAATTGAAACCGCTTACCGGTAAAAGGATACCGGTCGTCTGTAGTTAAGGGTTAAAGCACTCTGAATTTCAAGTTGACATTGCAAACGCTCCGTAATCGAACTTACTAAAGTAAATTGTAATGACTTCAGTGGTTTAGCAAGATTTTCGGCATTAAGTACTTAGATTTAAAAATCTAGTTGTTCTACTCAGTTGGCAATCATAGTAATGGACAATAACTATCCTTTGATTTCTTTCTCAAATACCTTTCCCAAATTTTTTTTCTTATAGCTAGATAAATATACATAAAAACATATGTTTGCTATATGGTATGTACTATTATACATATATGTAGTTAAGTGCACCTTTTTTCTGGAAATTTTTACCTCTTGTTTATATGTGTTTGCTTAATTGTAACTATTTACCTTGCGTGATGAAGTTGAACGAATAACAGACGCGTTCATTTAAAGGAGTGAGTGATCACTGTAGTCAAACAGCATAATATGTCCTAAGCCACTATCAAAGTAAACGCCTCAAATAGCAAAACTGGAAGTAAAAAAAAAAATACTTTTTGCAGAGAATGAGCTAAATCAAAATTGGCGTTGACAATGCGTGACTTTGACATACTTTTTCGTTAGATAACTATGAATATATAAAATGCACAAAGAACTAAATATACTTATACGTACATGTATACCACTCTTATATAGGAAAAGTATTAATAAAATATAAATTAAAAAATCAAAACGCAGTTTGACAACGCCTGAAAGCAGGCAGCAAATGCGAGGTTATACGATTTTTTTTTCATTGTTCAGCAGAACACGGTCATTTGCAGTATATTTATATGTACGTGATTTTTAAATACCTCCCAGCCTGTAAAATACGCGCAAATGAATCCAAAAAGGAGAAAAAATTTTACGAAATGAGGATTTTTGCCTGTTTACCGATTCCTTTTTCGGATACATTGCCGATTCGTTTTTCCATTGAAGCATGCGGCAGAAACGTGTTACGGATACGTTTTTGAATGTTTTTTTTTTCTGAAATTTTTCGTTGAATCTGCACTTCACAGATGCTTTTTCGTAGCTCTAAAAAAAATAACGAATATTTTTGTGGCGCGTGATGGCTTTCGAACCCAGCACCTTTTGATAGCTAACAAATAGTATCACGCTCCTGAGCGCACTCAGCATTGCCAACTACTTATGTATACATGCTATCAAATGTTCAGTTCTAACAAATGAAACAAAATTGTTGCTTTTAAATAACTTATATTTTCCGAACATTTTTCGGATACGGAAATGAGTGAAAATTCAAGTAAAACGAACCAGCAAAATTTACTTTTCTATGCTGGCTGGGGTGTTGTGTGTGCAACTGTGATTCAAACATTCATAATACTCTAGGCATATGTGTGAGTTCTTTATAGTATATATGAATAAATCTATATGCATGACATATGTCATGTGCAACATATATCATAAATATAAATAAATAAAAGCGCGAAAACTATTTTGTAGCCAAGCGCTTCATTTGTTTAGATTTGTGCACGAAGCGTTTATAAAGCAAGCATAAGCTATTTATTTATGCATGCGGCTTCATACATACATACATGCAGCTATATGAATACAACAATTCTTTTGTCTAAACATCTTGCTTGAATAAATCGTACCACACTTGGCAGTAGTGACAATAAAAACCCAACAAACAAATATTCACTTTGGCGTGGGGATCAATAAACAGGAAGTTCTTGCATATGCAGTGATGCAAAAATATCTATTACGCGTATGTGGAAAAAACATTTTGTACCTATAAATATATATTTGTAGCGGAAGCTATTTAGTTCACCGGCATTAAGCTAACAGTTGCATATATTTTTTTTTAGAGTTACTGCTAGTAAATATTTATGCTGGCGAAGGTCAATATCTAGTGCAGTACGTTTCAAAATAATATTTTTTTTCGAAAATATAAAGTTGCTTATGTGAGAGAATTTTTCATAAAAAACGTGTTTTTGATCCCTATGCGCATAATAAATTTGGCCTGAATTTCTACTGTGCCAGAAAAATTGTTAAAAAGGAATTTTTTATTCTAAAATTAGTCGTCTTTTATTCAATATAATTTTTTTTTTCATTCGATGGCACACCAGATTCAATCGTTTTGGCTAAAAGAATATTTTCACCATTTAAGCTTATCAGTATCTTAAATTATTTAAATTAAAAAAGTAATAAAATTTCAAAAATTATAAAATAGCTGCGACAGATATTTTGCATTCTGCCATTTTTTTTTTATTGGTGGCACACTCTTGAGAGTTGATAGATATGTTGTGTTTGATGCCAGCATCCTTTACTTCTAATATGAACATACTCTTTGAAAACTTCTCAAAGTTATAAAAAAAATTAAAATTTTGTGCGCGACAATAAAAAATATTAGTAGTTTCGGTACTTTTTTGTTTCGACAAACGTTTTAAGGCTTGATTTTTTTTTATTGTATTTCTTTCTGGAATGCCATTGCTTTAGAGTTTTTTTTTCTGGCGAGATAAAGAACCCTGCAGGAAATGGGACTAGTTTGTAGCTAACAATTAACTAACTAGTAGTGGTAACTACTCGACTAGTGGTAACTATTTATTAACTATTTCCTTTGGCCGTAACTAAATACTTTTGAAGGGCGTTGACCGCAAAATAGTCAGAACTGGTTTCCTTTGCATTAGATGTCAACTAACTTGCACCTAGCTACTTTTTGACATAAAATATCAATAAGAAAAACAACTGATTTTTTTAAATTGTTTGTTTTTTGATTTATTTACTTATTTTATTTGACATTACATATTTGCTTATTTGTTTACATGTTCTTTTGTAGGTGATCCCAAATTTGAATTCCATCGGACATAATATCAAAATAATAATGTAAAATTTCGATCTTTATTTTATTTGTCCTGAGTTCGAAAAAGAATATGTGAAGTGCAGAAAAAAAGTGCATTGAAAGTAATTTTCTTATGAGGATATTTAAATAGAAACTTGTAATGAAAACTAACTCCCGATAACGTCTGCATCAAAAAATAATATTTTCGCCTGCTGTTTTCGAGTAGTGTCCTGATGCCAGGCGTCTCTTGTACAGTCTTTCAACATGAGTTTCTTGACATTTTGAAAAATTTTCACAACGCTGATAGCATAACCGAAATATGCACCCATCGTGGTGGCCTTTAATTAAAAAGCGTTCTAATTCCGAATCACACGCACCAAAAATGTGATACAACCAAGTTTTTTGTTTGTGTAAAGTGAAATAATAAAATCTACGTAATTTATGGAAACAATTTAATCTATACTTAAATTAGTTATTATCAAAAAAAAAAAAATTATCCTTTTTTCTTTAACCAAAAGTTGAGATTTATATTACAAATTGCCCTATATTTTGAAATCCGAAATAACAGTACATTTCTAGTCAATACATAAAATATTTAATTTTTTATATTTTGCCTTCTAGAATCAACTAATTCAACATAATCAACGTGCTGGCGTCATAGTGAGTAGTGGCGATTTGGCGCTGCAGGGCGTGACCCGTCACCAGGCAGGCAACTACACGTGTACTGCCTCCAATGTGGAAGGCGATGGCGATAGCAATGTTGTTGAGCTGAAAGTGATGTGTAAGTGAAACAAATCTATAACAGTATCTACTAAAATGTATATGTAATAGACGTACTTTTATAATTAACTGTGTGCACCAAAAAACCTTAAATTCCTGTTATAGTTCAGTAAAAAATCGAGAACAATACTTATTACATGCAATTCGTTATTTTGCTTAGTTTTACAATATCTTTCAAACAACCGTCTCACACTTGGACGCAATGTGAAAACAATAGTCACATGCATGCATCGTGAATGTGTGTGTGTGTTTGCAAATCTGGAAGACGAATGCAGAAAGATGTGTGTTAGTTTACATACACAAAGCAAAAGACACAACATAAATATTTGCCTGCTCTAGTTGCTGTGTGGAATTTCACATAGCGAAATACTTTTTTCTTATTTTTCGCCCACGAACCCAGATTCCTCATTTTGAAGTTGTGCCTGTGGCAAAAGATGCCAAAGGCAAAAATCTTGTTGGGGTGTGCAATGTGAAAGTGATGAGTGTGCTTTATGTACATAAGTTAAAATAAGGCGATAAAATAAGAGTAATCGCAACATTGGGAATGTACATAAGTGATTGCTGAGCGAAGTGTACAATATGTATGCAAAAACGCAGTGGTATGTCGGGGCGTATGAGTAACTCAGCGTTGAAGTAAAAAGCAAACTGTTCCCGTTTCTTTCTGTCTAAGTGTTGATGCTTACTTTTCCAAGTTGTTGTTTTAATGCTGTTGCATAACAAAAAGAAACTATTTAATGACATAGATATGCATATATGTATGTAACTTTTTTCTAATGCCTTTTGTAGACTTACAAAGATTTTAAGCAAACTTGTAAAAGGACATACAGCCCGATTCACTTGAACAGGTACACATATTTTTCTCAAGTTTCAAGCTTAAAATGAGTACGTCTCTCACTAGTCTCACTAGAATTTCGTTTTAAAGGCTCCTCACAGCCTCCATGATAGCTAGCTCAGCTGAAATACGCTGCAGGAGTCTGGTAACCTAAAAGAGATTTTCACAGCAGAATTTCGTGAGAAAACGTGTTCTCCCACCTGACCGTTGAGTTTTAAGCCACCTTTAAAAACTTAAGTATCTACTAACAGGTGGGGTGTTATTTGTTTACGTTGTCGTGGTGACAAAGCTTCCGGAGGCGACACTTAAGCGCAAAAATTAAAAAAAAGTAAGTGCGCATGGGCAACACTGTAGAAGTGAAACTTACGTTACATATCTACTTTGTGTTATTACCAATATACATACGTATATATGTATACATACATCTACTTTTTCTTAAGGTTATATCTTTGGTATTTTTCTATCTAGGTCCCTAACTATACCTCTGTTCGTTCTAATTACATTTATGTTATTCTCTTTTCCTTTATCTTCATTTTTATCTTTATACTCTATCGATAACAAAATCGATAGCAATATCCAACAAAATATCTATATCGATAACAAAATATCTATATCTATAGCAAAATCGATGACAAATTCGATAAAATTTCGATAGCAAAATCGATGACAAATTCGATAAAAATTTCGATAGCAAAATCGATAATAATATTGGTAGCAAAATCGATTAGAAAATCTATAAAAATATCGATAACAAAAATCGATAAATAATCGATAACAGGAATAGATTAAAATTCCGATTACAATATAGATAACAATATCGATAGCAAAATCGACAAAATTATAGATAACAAATTCAAGAAAAATACCGATGACAAAATCTATAATAATATCGATAACAAAACCAATAACAATATCGATTATTATTCCGATAAGTTCCGAAGATATCGGTAGCAAAATCGATAAAAATTTCCACAATAAAATCGATAAAAATATCGATAACAAAACCGATAAAAATATCGATTATTATATCGATAAGTCCCGAGAATCCCGAAAATCTCTAAAATCCAAAAATATTTCCCAGATTGAGTCTCTGTGTATATATCTTTGTATATCCTTTTCTCTATAATTACCTTTATTTTAATATTTCTTGTTCTATACTTTTATCGATATCCTCATCCTCATCTTTTTCTTTACATTTATCGTTGTTTCTACTTTTATGTTTATCATTTTCTTCATCTACATATTCCCCTTCACCATTGCCCTTATGTAAGAAAACTGTTTATATTTACCTTAATTTTTTCCTTTATCTTTACGCATTTTTGTTTTTGTTTTTATTTTTACCTTTGCCTTTATCCTTTTCTTTATCTATGTACGTACTCACCTGTACTTTCATTCTTGTATTGGTCTTTTTCTAAGTGTTATTCTTTAACCTTTTATTAGGAATTTTTTGTTAAATTAATACCATGTGCATACAGTCAATAAGTACTTGTTTCAGTCCCAACCTTGTCGGCTGCGCCATTTCCTGTCCAATTTCCTTTGAATTTGCCAATTTACTCCCAAGCAACTAACCGCTGCGAAAGAAGTTTCACTTAAAAAAAGTAATAATTTAATATACAGGAGTGCCCCTCGTTTACCGCTTGCCACTAGGATGTCTATCTTAAGCGAAGAACAGCGAACCGCGTCATCTACTTGTATTGCCCTATTAAATTCAGCAACATTAAATCCAGAAAGCTTTTAGAGTACAATACGATCACTTCGTACAAGAGAATTGATCTGCTATATGACCGTTATTAAAATGAATCGACAAATCTGGGAATTAACGCCCCTTTTCTCGCCTATGGCTCTTTTACAAGTATAGTGGGCTAAAGAATCCTTCTCATAGCGCTGAGCTACATACATATATTCTCTTTTTAGTTCGGCTTATTTTCAAAGATCACGCCTAGAAATTTGGATTTTGTAGCAAAAGATATAACCCAAGCTCAGGTGGAGTAACCCAAGGTTTTTATACTTGCTTGAGTTGACGCCTTGGCCACCGCAGTTAGGGTTAGGAACTTATCAAAGGGATAAAAAGAGGTCTTCTATGTTTCCGTGTGCCTTGTTTCTGTCTTACACACTCAATTAACTTCCTTACTTACTACCACATAAAGGTTATTTTTACAAAATGCAAAAACAATATACATACATAAATATAAGTAGATAATACTTGCGCCATATAAATAAAATTCGATTTCGCTTAAATTTATATTTCGTTACTTGTTTATATTTCTGCCTATGGCTCGCAAAGTATAAAAACCATCAAATATACCAGAGACTGAACAAAAATTGATAGTTTCTCCAAGGTTGTTATACTCAAACTACATAAAAATTAAATTCTCGTCAAAGCAGAAATTCAACAGATGCTGTACAGCTTTATCCTTTCGGTCAAAAACAAAAATTTCCCATAGTTAACAAATCGTTATAAGCGTCGATTGACGGGGCACTTTGTGGGCGGTAAATATGTGTGTATGCGTGGATGTGCGTATGCTTGCAAATATAATTCACTAACTTTAGTGGTAGCACATGTACTTGCGCTCAGCTGCCTATGGACTAGCCAAAATAAAAAAAATCTGTCTAAACAAAAACTTTTAGCATGCTTTTTAAATATATATATTTTTTTTTGATATCTAATCTAGAATTAAGTAGCTTCCCTGGCGGCCAACTGAAAGTTATTGGACATGCACAAAGTTCCTGAGTAAATAAATTTATAAATTTTAGCTTTTCGGCTCTAATACTCTCTGTGTTGAACATTCGAGAACTTTTGTGAATGCGGGAGAGCGCAAAGGAGAGTTCCTGTTTTTAACACTAGAAAGGCTGAAAAACCGACATACATTGAAAAACGAACAGGGTTAATTTGACCCAACTTCTTTAAAATTACTTTTAGTAACAAAAAAATTATAATTTTAAATTGAAAACTTTTCATGCATTTTAAAAATAATATATATATATATATATATTCTTATTTTAGTAACAAAATAATCGAAGTTTTTTTAATTTTCAAAGTACATCGGGTAATCGAAATTTTTAATTTACATGAATTTATCGAGTTATCAGTATTTATCGATTTATTGAGTTACCAGGGTTATAAAGTTTATGGAGCTATCGATATATTTCAGATTATATTCAGTTATCAAAATTTCTAGATACACTTAAATGTCGAAATGCGCCAGTAGTTATCGGGATATTAAAATTTATCGAACTAACGAAATTTATCTAGTTACTGAAGTTTAATTTTATACGATATTTATTGAGGAATCAGTATTTATCGCCTGATCAATATTTATTGTTATGGAAGTTTATCGAGCAATCGTGATGTATGTATCAAGTTCCATTTTCAAAGTTATCGAGTATACCGGGTAATCGAAATTTTTAATTTACACGAATTTATCAAGCCATCAGTATTTTTCGAGCACCTAGAGAGCTATCGAAATGTATCAATAGATATAGAAATTCATGGAGTTGAGGTATCGAAATTTATCCAGTTCTGGAAACACTCAGTTATCTAAATGTATCTATAGTTATCGAAATTTTTGAAGTTATCGAATTTTATCGAGTTATCGAAATTATTTGCTTTTGAAATTCCTTAAGCTATCAATACGTATCGTATTTAGATATCTTAATTCATGTAGTTATTCAAATTTGTAGAGTTATCGAGAACTATCGATATACATACTGCCCTAGGATTCCCGCAACACCCTAATTGAAAATTTTGTTAAATCATAGTCTGAAGTTCCCCATTCCATCATTTGACTTTGACGCGCAATTAGAGAGCTTCCCCACATGAAGTTGAACTTGTAGAGTTTCTTGAATCATTTTTTCGTGAAATACTAAAAATTATGATTGCTCTTTTATCAATACGAAAAATGCCTACTTTAGTGTTGCTAAAATTAATTCTGATTATGTTCGCAAGCACAAAAATTACCCCATTGAATTTTTGAACAATTTAACTGTCAGCGGAATATTTTGTTGTTTTCGTTCCAGCGTACGCTGTTTCCAATCATACTGCCAGTAGACTTCGTTTGTTTAATTATGTGCTATGTTTCGAAACTTGCCCAGGGCTATAAAAAAAACTAGAACTAGAACTAGAACTAGAACTAGAACGGTCGAATTTCGACAGTAACCACTACTAGTTAAACATATTTTCCAATAGGTTCAAATGACTCCCTTATCCGCCTTTCTCGGTGGTTGTACTATTTATTTAAGTTTGAAACACATCAATAAAATAGGAATGCTTTTAAGTTAAGTAAATTTTATTTAATTTTAATTAAATCACGAAGGACTAATTTACATATAAATTTATAAAAATGGCTGGTAGTCAAATATGAAAGTGAGTCGCATGATCCCTCTGCGTCTTTCTAGTGTTAAAGGTGGTGGTGGGTTGTACGAAACTGTGTATATGAATATACATATGTACGTATGTATGTGTATGTATGTATGTATGAGTATTGCTGTAAATTTACCAGAATAAACTCTCTTATGGCTCATGCTCGTAACTTGAAACTCCATGCGGGGTATATAATACCACCTCGAAAACTATCTTCTTCTACTTCCTACCTACGATGCACTCAGATTAGAATAAATTTGATTTTACTGAAGAACAGTTAACTGTAAATATTAACAACTAAACCCCAAATAAAGCGAAAGAAGCATAAAATTGTATACATCCGATTTATTCTAAGACTGTTAAATGTTCTTCTTTTATTTTTGTTTATTATGTGGGTAGTTTAGTGCCAACTTAATTCAATTTTATTTTTCTTCCTGCTACTTATCATATAAACTTTAACTTTAACTTCGGCTTGTTGGTAGCCTCAAGTTTTGTTTTTATTTCACAGTGGCTGAGATTGGGTGTGGTTGATACCGACAATGCTGGTCTGGTCAGTTTTGTTGCTGCTTTTATTTACTGCCGTCGCTTGTTGCTGCTATTTTGCTGCTACTTTGCATCTGTTTTTTTTTTTACTTCTCTTTCCATTGCCCTGTATTTTGATGGAAAATTGCATTATTTATTAGTCGAGAGAGCGCAAAGGAGTGAGTTCAGTGCTTCGAATTTACTTTAATGAAGCGCCATAAACTCAATTATTTAAGTATTATATTTTAAAGCACAAAGCGTCGGCTAGATCGTCCTTTTGCTGCGCAGCAACAAAAATCGTTATTTTAATAAGCACTCAAATTGTTTATTATCAAGAGCAAAATTTTTGGTAAAGTGTCCTTATTTTATATTATTGGATTTGAAAGCTTCTGGGTAATTGAGCAGCAGCTATTTGAGAGCTTTTGGTAATCAGCTTACGCATGAAAATATAGTTGGAATATATAAGTAGTAGAGAGCACAGTTGGGGTTTCATTTTTATATGGATGTTCAATAATAAATAATATTTTGGCGCTTACACTTTTGTTAAGAGTTTTGCCTTGCTTCTTCTCCAATTTGTGGCGTGCGCCTTGATATTGCTACAAGGGATCACAGTTCTACGGCACTTCCTATTGCCAAATGGAATTTTAAGAGAGACTTTTTCAAGGCAAAAAAATCAAGGGTGAAAAAATATTTTCTAATTTAGCTGTTGCTAGAACCAGAGATCGAAGGTCCCATGGAATGCTAGTATCCATCTCTAGCCACTCAGCCACCGTGGCTACGGAGAGTGCATTTACAACTGCTTAATTTTCATTTCGGAGCGAATTTAGTGACTGCGTTTTATTTAAAAGTTGTGCTTATAGAAATAATAAGATAATAGGAAAAGTAAGGCGAATACGAATACGAAAACGAATATAAAGCTGAGAATAAATGCGATGCGAAGATAAATCCGAATACAAAAACTAAAATGAGGACGAACCGAAGACGAATACGAATACACGGATGTATAAGAACATGAATACGAAGACGAGTGCGAATGTGTAGAGTAGCACGAACATGAATAATAAACCGAAAAAGAGGTTCCAATGTGACCATATGTCATCCCCATGGATTATGCCACGTGATGAGTCCTGTCAGGGATCGTAGATCGCTCCTTCTTTAGCTGTGAAGAAATTTTGCTACCACCATGACAGGCCTTACAACTACTTTTTGATCCCATAAATATTTTTTTTATGAATACATGCAAAGATACCGGTCTTTCCTCTCACTTAGTTATTCACAGTTATAAGCCGCTGGTCAAGAAAAGATAACAAACAATTTAGTCGGTTTCTGAATTTGATAACGCCTCTTAGTTCTTGTTAAAGAAACAAATAAATATCGAAATATTTTTATAGAAAGTGGCTTTAGAGAAGATAAACGAGAAGACTTCATTAGAAAGCCATAAAGCAGGGGAATTCGACATTGAAATTGAGCAGAGGTGGAGCAACTGTGCACACCGAGCTTCAGCCAGAACATGAAAATGTGTGTTTCCAATGTTCAATTTGAATCAAATTTCATAAAATTTTTCAAACTCATTTCATTGAAAATTTGTTTAAAAAATATGTTTTCTGTTCAAAAATTCTAGATTGCCAAAAATGAGTCTGCCTGAAAAATAACATGCTACTTTTTTTCTTAGTATTAAAAGCCGGTCGAATTTCGGCAGTAACTGGGACTCCTCTTGCCGGTTTCACCAGAAATTTAAGTGAAAATTTCTATTAATTTGTTATTTTCAGAGGTTATCGTTTTCATCATAAGAAATACGCTGTAAAATATAAAACCGAATTCGCGAGAGCTTCACGTTGCATAGTTTTTTGGAAGAGAGAGAGAAACTTTCTTACATAAATAATTTATTTTCTACAAATTATTTACACAAGTAATTTTTAAAATACACTCCACATGCATACCATCAGTCATATATGTAAATACATACATACATTCTAGGCATTTATAAATCATGCAGCCGCATAAAATTCCCAACTTGCATATAAAATCTCACTCAAGGCATTTTTCAGCGCAAAAGTATGCTACGAAAAAACTTTGCCCACAGCTAAGCTGCGATTTATGAGTCCCAGTTAGGCTCGGTATGGGCATGGGCGTGAGTGTAGGCGGGGCGCGTATGTATGTAGGTTTGCCATTGCATACTAGGGTGTGTCTGTTTGTGTGTCTTTCTGTGTATACATTTTTACTTGGACTATTTGTAAACAATGCAAAAAGTGCGCCTGCAGGCGACTGCTATTTTATAAAGTCTCAAATACCAACATTGAAATGGCCTCATTTTTTTAGCACAAAATACAGAAATGCATACATATATATGTGTAAATGTAATATGTAGGAGTACAAATAAAAATATAAAAAACGTTGAAATGCAGTTAAAAGTAAGAAGAGAGCAGAAAAAAATTTAAAAAATAAAATCATAAAACGTAGCGCAAACGCAGTCAACAAAGAAACAAAAAAAAAGTTGTCTGCACCTACTTTCTAGGCCACAACACAGTCAACCGCATTGTCGGAAGCAAAACAGTGGTGCCACTGCTGCGATTTTGCTATCGCATTTTTATTTTCGTACTCGTAATTTTGCTATGTATTTCGTACAGAATTTCTCGCGCTGGCAAAGTGCATATTTTTCCTTTTCTGCTGCGTTTTGTTTACTTTTTTTTTTTAATTTTTATATTTTCTTTGTTAAGTTCGCAGCGTTTCGAAACGTATTACGCACACACACACATGCAGAATACTGAGATGATATGTATGCAGTTGCTATTTTGTATAGATCTTCAAACACAAATAAATGTACCTACACACATATGGATGTACTATTTCAATGCAACTCATCCCGCCGTCATTTATGGTTTTTTATTGCCGCATATTTTTTATGCAGCACCTACACCTATTTGTATCCTACTCCGCTACTTTTATTTGTGCTCGTAACTTTTTTTGTATGCAATTTTATATATTGTTTAATACTAACATAGACTTATCTTATTGTTGTTGTTGATGCTGATGACTATCTTCATTTTATTTTTATTTTTTTCCTTTATTTGCAGACAAACCCATTTGCCGTCCGGATCAGAAGAAAATCTACGGTGTAGCGCGTAATGAGGCCGCTGAGATTTTATGTGAGGTTGATGCATTTCCACCGCCAGAAAACTTCAAATGGTCCTTCAATAATACAGCAGAGACATTTGATATGCCGCAAAGTGGTTTCCGTGCACATTCAGCGCAGGGATCGACATTGACCTACACGCCGGTCAAGGTGAGTGCACATACCCGTACATACATACATGTGTACATGTGTATATCTATCTCCACATACCTACTTATTTATAATTATATCCACACATGATGGTAAATACTATTCATATGTCGACTCATGCTTATTTTATTTATGTATCTAAGCATAATGCTCACGTGATTTATAAAAGAGTATGTGTATATATATGATTGCATTCATATATTCTGCAGTAGTGTTGGGTAAGCTTTTACGAGTATTTCTACATGTAAGTGACCTTAGTAACTCTGCAGCTGAAGCGTGTGACCCACTGAGTTGCGTTTTGTTTTTAAATGGAGGACGAAATGCCTGCGTAAATACATACATACATACAAGCATATATATGTATGTATGTACATTACAGTTATACACGTTACTTATGAAAGCTTTAAGTGAAAAGAGTAAGTGCTTGGCATAAATCGGAAAGGAAAATCATTTAAATGTTGCAAGAATATGTCAATAGAAGCTATGAATAGAAGATATCTAAATAAATAGATAGATCTTTGAATTAATTTAATGGACCAACGACCAAGCATATATCACACCTAATTCCCTCAAAGGCGAGGCAGAAGCACAAAAAGCATTCCCACCTTCTAATCCTCTTCAAGGCAGGATGGGCAAAACGAGTTGTCATGCACGCCTGTAAAAGTCAAGTGTTAGTCTCACGTAAAGTGTCCAGTCAGCAGCCCAACAAGTTTTCTGCTGTCCCGTTGCTCAGTGAGAACAAAAAACTAGATAGACCTTCTGAGATTTAAGGCGGCATGAATTTTCCGACCTGCCCCTCGATGTCACCCAGTCATTGGAATTTGGCTTCGTTGGTCGAAGGTGGGAGTGCTATAACTAGTTGCGGACTGAGGAATGTCTGAGCCTCAGAGACTCAACATTATAGAATCTCTTCAACAAAGGTAATGGTGGCGCACTATCATCCAGCATTGAAGAGACACAAGTCTCGCCCCACTCAGTGTTAAACCAACATCCGTTTCATTTTAGTGTGCAAATGGCCTCTAAGGCTTCCCCAAGTATGAAGACTCAAAGTGACGGTAAGTGCAGCTTTGCGTTAAGAGCAGCCAAAGCCTTGAAAGTCTTGTGCTCCACGTTAGATTTCCACTATAGTTTTGTATCCAATATTACTCCTGGATATCTACTTCGGGAGAATTCTGAATAATAACCATTTTTAAGTGTAAGGTGAATGAGACCATCTTCAGCTTGGGCTAAACGATGATCCCATTTCAAATACACCAAGCGTAAATCATATTCAGAATTTTCTATGCTTTCCTGCAATTACCTGCGAACGTAATGTTAGAATAAAATATGAGGACCTATAGAATATAAAGACCCATAGAAACTTAGCTTCAAAATCCTTTACTTGTATCGATATTCAAAACTAAAAGCATAGACAGGCTATAGCGTTGATCCGGAAAATTTTCGATGGCAACACTGACCTTTTGCATGTAATACTATTAATGGTATTATTGATTGCCCGTTTTTGTTAGAGAGGATAAGATTTAATGTCCCTTCCGTTTTGTGGTTGTAATATTAGAACGCAATACGCAGGTAATGCCCCGATTTATCGTGCCATCCGAGAATTTAATACCGTGAATAATGCTGTGGCCGTTGACTTTTCAATCCAAGTGTTCAAAGACAGCTTTTTTAAATCTTTAGAATTATAAATAATAATAATTAATAAATAAATAAATACAACTCTGACAAATCATGCGCGCAAGTTGATTTCGGTTTATCAAACGTGAAAAACTTGCATGCGTGCGTTGCGTGCCGCGGCGGTAATATTTGATTGAGCTGATTGCAAGCGAGTCTGGCGTCTGTGGAAGCCGAGTGGTGAGGGTTCGAACAATAGCCAACGAATTTTAATTTTTATGTATTTTATTTATATACATATTTTATTCTACGTTATTTAGTTATCTTTTGTTTTATTTTATTAATATTTTTTTTTTTATTATTAGTCAATTAAAACTTTGGATATAATTTTATTAAAAAAGTCCACAACAACTGTAATTACATTGAAACGATTATAACTGAATGAATTAAAAAAAAAATAAAAAATTGACTGGCCTTGTGGCTCGATTCCACGACCACTCGTTAATCTATTAGGATACAATTTTGATCAGATGAAATGCACCGTTAATCCGAACCAACGTTGCCGTCTGTCTAAGCTGTAATGCGTGTACTCGACGCTCCGTACTTCCAATATGTCCATATGTTATTGTTGCCGTGGGAACGCCAATATAACATATTTGTCCATTGTGGGTGCTCCCTGTGAGTGATTTCTAGGAGGACGAACATGCATATCCCAATCATGGGTTCCGTTACAAAGTGAAAGGAAAGAACAATCAACGCAGTAGTCTGCTGAAACATTTCCTATTCCAAATGAAATTGTGGAGCTCGAAGTCTTATACTTTTGCTATCTCTGCCCGACTAATGAAAAAACGTAACCCCAGGTGTTTGAGCTGCTCCAACTGCAAGCCTGCATATTAACAGAGAATAATTATTAATTAATTCCTCCTTATTGTCATTGTGGTATTCGCCATTGTTGGAGCATAGTTTTTCATTAATTTAATTATAACACTTGATTGTCCATTCAGTAAACGTAAATATTTAGTTTAAAAAATTTTATATTTTTTCAGTTTAAAAATAAATTCAATTGCTTATACATAGCTTTTTCGCCAATGACGTTTTTCTATGCTAGTGTATTTAGGAATTCAAAGAAAGCCCAAACGATTTATCTCCATAAATAGCAGCTAGAAAATCAAAAAATATTCTGAGCCTCAAGCTTTCTTACTGGTCACTGTAAAGTATTAAAGCGTTTGTCAAACTTGGTTGTAGCGCATTTGCATAGTTTGTGACAAAAGGAAAAGAAAAATCAGCTTTTGTGAATATCTTAGCTAGTTTTTAATATTCCGAGTGTCACTACGCTAAAAGACTTTGAGAATTTCCACAAAACTACATGAATCGGTAAGCACCTGAAAACCAGTTGCGGTGTGGGCTCAGTGACTAAGTGATTTGCTTTCAACTCATCGAATTTTGTTGCCCTAGACTATTTTCTACATAAATAATCAACTTAGCAATAAATTAAACATTATTCATCCTTTCATAAGCATACGCCGGTATATGTGCTGCCGATTGGAAAAATGCTTTCCGTTTTGATATCATATTTGCCGTTTCCGGCTCCCCTTGCTTATTGGAATCCAATATTTTTCTAACGAAGACATTTTTAAAATGCTTTATGATGTCTGCGATTACACATTTATGTATGTACGTGTGCAATCCCAGCAGCGAATGGAATGCATGCCGCATGGTTGCCGCACTGATGACAGGTAATGGCATTTGATTCCGCTCTCGATTATTTTTCCATTGAAGTACGCATTACATTTAACATTGTGTGACGTTGGCAGTAAGGGGTGTGGGCTTCTCCTGCATTACTTTTCATCAACGCAGAAATGTCACTCTTTCTGCATTACCTTTAGCATAGCACTACGCTCAAAGTAATGCAGAATGTTTTAAAGAGTAATGCGGCAATTAAACATTAGATAACTTCTAGGTAAAAGGTGATGCAGCTTACGTAATGATGATATATAGAAATGTCTAGCAAAACATTTTTATCAAGATTTAATGCATATAAAATAAGGGTTCGCCATCAATTGCCTGTAAATCAATGAAAGTAATTCGAAATAAATTGATGTAGTATTTGATGCGTTGGATTTGATTAGATTTTTCGAAGCATTTCATGAGTGCTCTAATGCGATTGCATTAATTTGGAGTCGGCTCTGGAGTTGGTGGCGTCCTCATGCTATCGCATTTTCGCTGCTGGGATATAGCAATAGCCCTGTCGGAATATAATAATCGAAAAATAAATACTTTCCGCCTTTCCAATTGTCAATTGAAGAGGTGCAAGCCAGTTTAGTTCACTTCACATTTATTAGTACATTTTTCACTTACTTTAAAATATTAGATCCTAGTTTTAGTTTTAGTAGTTAGTTAGTTTAGTAGTACAGAGTCGGACTATTGACTTTTCCATTGTAATTCACACCGAATCTCCTGAAAAATCCAAGTGAACTTCATATAAAATGGAAAAAGGAGAATTTAGTGACTCTCTGACTACTACCAACCCTATCGGTCAACCGGAAATCGGTCAGCGGTGAGGGATCGTGCTCGAGTAAAGAACCCTACTACTACGCTAAAATGTACATATTGGGCTAAATCTTAATTGCGTTTCAAGCTGCTCTCCTACACATATGTATGTATCTATGTATGGGAATTTAAACAAATATACCGACATACAAATTAATTTATTGTCTTCCGTGTGCTTCTTTTTGTCAAATTGAATCAGTGGTACAGCTTCGTTTACGAAGGGTTAAGTTAGTTGCCAAATAAAGAAATATTATGAGGTACCTGAATTCTTAGTATACTTACACACTTATTTAAGTACTTACTACATACATATAATGTTACAAAATGTGACAACGTATAGATAAAAATGAAAGGAAATAAACTGAATTACTTAGAAGAAAAGTAACAAAAGTAAGTCAGTCCACTTCTACAACAATATTAGGAAGAGTGTGTGTATAGCTTGAGATGGGATGAGTGGATGTAGATAATAAAAAAAAACAGCAGGCTTATATAAGAAGATATATGGATGAAGGAAAGTAAAGTATAATGTGGGTATAATGAGAACTAAAGTTGAAGTTAGTGAAATGGAATGGGATAATACGTGAGACTTGGTAGGAGTGTCGAAATCAGTAAAGGAAATAGTTTGACCCCACATTGGGGATGAATTTTATTTGAATCAGAGTTTTGGGGAGATAATAAAGTATTAAAGTAAAAGGGTGGGGAGCACATGCTGCCATTATTACCATATAAATTAGTTATGCTGGTGCAAAATTGGAGTTATACATATAAGAGAAAAACTTTGAAAGTGGTGTAGGCGTAAAAGTCCATAAATATAGTAACTACATATACACATAAGTTGTGTTAGCTAAAGGCTTAAATGCTGAGCATAATGCTTATTAAACTAAATTATATTTATATTTCTTCAAAATTTTTAAATAAAGCACAAAAAATCAAAATTTTGTGCAAAAATTCGAATATTTTTATTTATTTAAGCAAAACTAAATTATATTTATTTTTATTCAAAATTTGTAAATGAAGCAAAAAAACTAAAACTTTGTGCGAAAATAGGAATAATTTTATTTATTTAAAGAAAACCAAATCATATTTATTTTTATTCGCAATTTGTAAATAAAGTACAAAAAATTTTAATTTTATGCAAAAATAAGAAAATTTTTATTTAATCCAAGAAAATTAATTTATATTTAGTTTTATTCAAAATTTGTAAATAAACTACAAAATCTTTAAATTTTACGCGCAAATAAGAAAATGTTTATTTATTTAAAGAAAATTTAATTATTTTTATTTTTATTCAAAATTTTTAAATAGAGCATAAAATATTTAAATTTAATGCAAAAATAAAAAAAATATATATATATTAAAAGGGAATTAAATAAAGTAGACATTCATCAGACTATTTTTTTTTTGAAATTTCATGACCATGTAACTTTTATGTTTTTTTTTTAAGAAATGAAATTTTGTTGATTTGTGCAAACTTCTATATCTTTTAAAAACCGGTCTTTCTTTATTCTGATAGGTATAACAATCATTTTTTTAACATTGCTGAAATATCACACATACAACGCCTACGTAGGTTTTTTAATTTAAACAATTCCGCGACTGTAGTTAAAATTTAATAAATTACTATTAAAAGATATCGAAGTTTAACACAAATACAAAAAACTACATTTCTCCTTAAAGAAAAATCGTAGGAGTTACGTGATCATAAAATTCCAAATGGCTGAAATTTCACCCCAAAATCGGATGAAGGTTAAGGTATCTATTTATGTAATCGTACATTTAAATGCTGTACAAATACTAACTACGTATTGCCTAAACTGAATATTTTGTATTTTTCTTGCAGGAAATGGATTTTGGTACCATAATGTGTTGGGCGGATAATAACGTTGGTCAGCAAAAAGAGCCATGCGTTTTTCATCTAATCGCCGCTGGCAAGCCAGAAATGCCAGCCAATTGTACAATGTTCAATCAAACATCGGATTCGTTGGAAGTTTTTTGTGTTGAAGGTAAGTAAGCATTTGAGTACGGAACAAATTTTTGGTACGCAATGTAATTGAAAAGATAGCTTAATTCTACAAAAAGGTTTGAAGTGGAATTTTTTTAACATTGCTGAAATATCACACATACAACGCGGACTTGTATTTTCATTTAGTTTTACTACATAAAGAAAGTTGAAGCGTAAAACGGGATTACATACATACAGAGTTCAGGACCTTTTCGGAACCACTTCGTACTCCTTCGGTACTATTTCGGTACTTTTTCGGCACTAATTCCAAATGAGTCACAAATTGGCTCTGAAGTAGTCGTAATAATTTCTAAGTAAAAAATTTTATAATTTAAGTCTCAAAATAAAAGACTTGGAAGACTTAATAAAAAATGTATCTCGCTGATAATTATTATGAGAAGACTTTTACACTAGACGCCTGCGAATAACAGTTAAGTTACCAATGACTTTAGAAACTTTTCTGTTTACAATTTTTTTTAAAGTTCACTGCATACTGTTTTGAAGTCAAAAAGGAAGTAAATTCAAAACGTCCTACACTGGAACGTCCTACGTTTAAAAAAGGTCAAGGTAATTTTTGTATCCAAAGAAATTATTTTTCCTCATTTACCTATTTCAAAATCTTTGAAATGCTGTTAAATTTCCACACCTCCGCCGACGTCAGTGTGACCACAACAAAATAATGCTGTTCTTGTTCTATGAAATGTGGTTATTTAACAATTGTAAATGCAAATAAATATATTTCTCTTCTATTGACTGTTAGATGGCACCCCTTCAAACGGAAATATAAAATGTAAACTTTTATGATAAAATCGCTTAACATGCAGTGCAATGAAGTTAATGAAGCTAAAAACTGCAGCGTGAAATACTAATAGACCAACCGACCATAGAAAATAAAAAGAAAGAAAATATTAAGTGAGTCCATAAAGCAGGCAGG